GCTTCTGCCAGTCTCACAGGGAGCAAATAACAGCTACTAGTATAAGAAAAGGGTTCCAAGAAATAACTTGTAACCCAGATGGGCCCAGAGCACTATAGCCTGTGCTTAGAATGTCTGTAAATGCAGAGCCCAGGGCTGGCCTGCATGGGGCCACAGGAAATGTTGAGAGGGCTGAGTAACTGCCCTGTGTCCTGGGGACTTCTGCTCACTCCCAGAGAGTTTTGAGCTGTTTCCTTGGCAAGAAATGATGATTAATTTCCATTCCTCTCTATGCGCCGTGGCTAGGGTGGAGCCAGTGTCTTGGCTTCTGGGACTGAAATATGTGCTTCAGGGGCAAAAGAGATGAAGGGAGGGGAGCCGAGTGACTTGGAACAGAAAAGCATCAGGACTGGCTTGCCCTTTCAGAGAGAGTGTGGCAAATCAACACCTCACCTGCCGGGGGCACCTCCTGCCCGCTCTCTCTCACATTCTTCCTGCCTGAGTATGCAGAATGCAGAAGGGAGCAAACAGGTAGCTGGGGTACACTAAGGAGGGAGGAACTGCAGCCAGAGCCAGCCTGAGCATGTGACTGAGTCACGAGGGGCAAAGGGAACCAAATCAGTGCACTGAGTTCATGGACCTGAATGCCAAACCAGGGCACAGTCCTTCACACACTGCTCAGAAGGCCAGCATACCTTTCCACACCCCAAACCTCGGAAAGGGGTGGGTCCAAGGGCCCTCAGACCTGTCCCAGAGTCTTGGTGGGTGGGGTTGAGCCGATTACTCCACAACTACAAGGCCTGTCCTTCAGGAGAGAAGTAGGGTCACATGACCTTCAGGGGCGTATCTGCCAGGCATGTGATCCAGTCAGGCACCCAACAGATGCATGATACCCAACTGCTCTTTCTCTCCTTCCCTCCGGGCTGTCCTTGATGCTCTAACATCGCTACACTTGTAGAATCAAAGTAAAGAGGGGGGAGGCGGGAAAGCATCATGGTGTTTGTTGCGGGTGGAGGGGTTGGGGTGAGGTTACAGCAATACCTCCCCAGACAGATTAATCCTATTCGTCTCCCACTGGCCCCTCACAGTCCCCTGAATGACAGGAGTAGAGGGGGTAGAGCCAAAGAGTAAAGGAACTCATTCAGGGTAACTGAGCAGCCTCTGATTTCAGGTCCCCTTGTGACTTTCTCTAGCAGCTACTGACTTTCCACATCAGGAGCCTGGCCACAGCATCAGCCGAGCGTGAACAGGCTCTGGGAGACCAAAGCTAAGCCTCAGGCATGTGGAGGGTGGGGTGAGGTCGTAAGACCAGGACTTATTCTATGAGCAGTGCAGCCTATCAGTAAGAGTGCCAGCTATGGACTGTGGATGCAGCTCGGCCGGTAGAGCACTCATTCGGCATGCACGGAACTGTGGGTTCGAGCCCAGCACCACATAAACCGGTTGTGGTGGCACACACCTGTAATGCCAGCACTCAGAATATGGAGGTGGAAAGATCGGGGGCTCAAGATCATTCCCAGCTGCACAGAGTTCAAAAAGGAACTCTAGCTCCAAATACCAGTCAGACAGATGCCACGTGTGTAATCTTAGCTCCAGCCAAGACAAGCTACTTTTGTTCTCTGTGCCTCAGTTTCTGATATGAAAAGTAGCAATGCTAACTACGGTCTACCTCAGAGAGCTGTTGGAAGGACTAAAATATGCAAGCAAAGTACTTAACAAATGCCTGCTGGAAATTTAACATGTGGTTATGTGGCACAATTATTATAAAGACTGTTTACTAAATGAATGTTTAGAGACAGAGTATTGATTAGAACTGTCCCTACAAATTTTATTGCACCAGGCTTCCATATATAAGAACATCCTCACTTTCATTTCTGTCCTGCAGGCTCCTGTCAACGCCTAAGCTCTACAGTAGGGGTCAGTACAGTTTTCTATTAAGGCAGAGAGATGGTAAATAGAGCTGAGTGTACTGGTGTGCACCTAGAGTTACAGGACAGCTAGGGCTACACAGCGAGACTTGAAATACCCCAACTACCTCAAAGAAAGAGAGAGAGAGAGAGAGAGAGAGAGAGAGAGAAAGAAAGAAAGAAAGAAAGAAAGAAAGAAAGAAAGAAAGAAAGAAAGGGAAAGACTAAGAAAAAAGAGAAATACCATTTTGCTCTAAGGTTTCCAAACACTCAGATCTGTAAAGAGACAATGAAGGATGGATGGGTGGATGGATGGATGGATGGATGGATAGGTGGGTGGGTGGATGGGTGTGGCTGTTCTAATGACATCTTTATTTACAGAAAGAGACTATAGCATATCTGCTTCGAAGGTTCACACTGGGCTTCATAAGAGGCTGACAGCCTTAACCAAATGACCCCTGACCCTCCCTCAAAGCTCTGCGGCAGGTAGCTGAAGGTGGCATCACCTTTCCCTGCCCTTGAAAGCTTCTAACTAGCAACTGAAGAGGCTTCTGAGGGGAAGGGTGCCAGATGGCCTCCCAGACCTACAGCAAGACCAGGACAATTGCAAACCCCGCTACAGTCTCTGGGCCGTAAAAACAGGAACCAGATTGCTACTCCACTGTCTCTGAAACTGATGATGAGCATCTGGAAAAGCAAACAAACAAAAAACAAAACAGATGTGGAGGTAAGCAGGGACAGCTGGGCTCCTCCATGCCTTTTGTAATCTGGGGGGCCTCTATAGCCACAGGTGGTCTGGGATGGGCCCAACCCTGAGCAGTGAACTGCCTGGGCTTTCTAGGCCTTCAGATCCACACGTCTGTGTCAAATGGGTACAATGACACTGCCTGGCCTTGTACCTAAGAGACTATAATAAGAAAAACTGAAGGTGTAAAATTTATATCCAGGCTACCAGCCTAGCCAACCATGAACTGCATGGAAAAAAAAAATTAAAAAAAAAAAAAAAAAAAAAACCTAAAAATAGCTGACCAGTGTTCCTGTTTTTGATGTTCTAAGCAGTTGTCACACCAGCATTCTGGCAGGTGTTCATTTATGGCTTAATACCCACAATGCTGTGGGGCAGGCATGGACCTCCCCACTATTTCACAATCGAGGGAAACAGGCTGGCGGTGAGGGGACATGCTCATGGCCACACAGGCTCCGGCAGCAGAGTGTGTCTTGGTTTCCAAGGGTGCTGGCTTTTATGGAAGGCATTACATAGGCATGGCTGGTCAAAGCCGGCAATCACTGGTGAGCAACTTAACCTTAAGCCTCTCGCTGACCCTTTACAGAGAAAACTTGTGGCCCCTGCCCTGGAAAACCACTAGGGACATTTTGGGGTCTATTGCCTGTGTTTTCCAATGCATACAGGTATAGATTTACTTCTCCCCACTTCTAAACACAACAAAATACTATTCTAAAGTACGTGCTGCTTGTAGCTGTGAGCCTCTCATGTTCCTGGCCTCTTTTCTTTCTCACAACATTGCCTGCTTTTTGGGGGGAGAGAACTGTGGCTGAGTCCATTACTCCTGTAGTCAACCCAGGGCTGTGTAGACACAGAAACACAATGACCTGCCACTGTGGCTGCAGGCTTTAGCTAGGCCCTCGGTAGAGACTCGTGGGAACCAGGGAAAGCTGACCTCCAGGAAAGGGTTCTGGCCAAAGAAAGCCGAGGAAAGAATGAGTTGAAAGACACAGACTCTTGACAGGAGACGAAACAGAGCAGGTGGTAGACCTTTAGGAGGAGGCAAAAGCTGTAAAGTCATCTGGACCTTATTCCATCCGAGTCTCCTGTTTGTAGGCATTATTTGGTATTTGGGTATTCCAAGTGCCTTGGGCCTCCAGCACAGCAATCAGCATTTCTATCCAAGGGCTTCCCTGAACAGTCAGAACTACATCAATTTCAGGATGTGGGATGCCTCTCAACTCTGTCCTCAATGCCTAGAATACAAGAGTCCTTTCCCAGATTCGGAGTTCAGCTAAGCGAGGCCACTCTTGGGAGGTAGAAGTAGCTGAAATGGACGTTGGCAAGCACGTGGCCTGGCTTTGGGAGACCTATGTCTGTCTCTCTCCCCTCCCACTCTTGACGTTGGGCATGCTAAGGGGGGAGGGGCACTATATGGAGCCCTGAGCAGAATAAAGGGGTCCCAGGCAGAAGCAGAAGCACTTCGCCCCCTCACACACCTCATGCCTGGTAGGCCACCAGGACAGAAAGCCCTGGAGTCACCACCTTTGGAAGTGAATCCACTCTGCTGTCAGAACCTGTGTGGCCATGGAAGTCCCCAAGCTCTCCAAACCCGTTTCCCAGGCTTGTGAAAAAGCAGGCAGGGCCATGCCTGCCCCGCAGCATTCTGGGTATCAACCATAAGCATGCTGGTGTCACAACTCAGAGCATCCAGGAGGGGTCTGGGGAGCTTTGGGGCTGCAGGACACAGGGAGGTGGCTTACTGAGAGGGCATGGAGCCTCCAGGCCATCTAGCAATCTCTTCCCCTGGGTCACTGTGTGAGAGCTGGTAACCTAGGAAATGAGAGGCTCTTAGGCCTGTTTACTGCTCTAGCAAGTCACTGAACCGAGGAGGTCATAAGGGCTGTGGTTTGCAGGCAAGTGGGACAGAAGCTGTGGGTGACCTGATACCCGTCATTTGTGAGTGGCACCTAGAGTAACTAGTGGATGGTCTACGGCTTTGAGCCTATTGGTTAATGTTAAGGTTGAAATAAATTGCAAGGGACTGAACTCATTGTGGGTGGGGGGAAAAAACCCGCCTTTCATCATAGATGTGGTCTGTTTTGAGAACAGGAGTAGAGTAATGCAGTATTTGGTTTTTCTAACTAAACGGATGCCACGTACAAGAATTATCTACTCAAACACAGGTTAAATGAAAAGAATGAAATGACAATTTTACACAATGCATCACACCAAAATTGACGCAGGAGCTTTAAAGACCTCTCAGCTCCTACAACTCGGTCCTCTGAATACCTTATGTGACGAGACATGACCCAAGCCAGCCCTACGCAGTCCTGTAGGAGAGCGCCCATGCGCACACACACAGTCTCGCTGGGCCAACAGCTACCTACCCTTTCTTCAGGTTCTTCACGTATGCGCTCTGGAGCGCAGCTTCCAAGAAGTAAGTGAGCTCATAGTCAACCGAGGGACTGACTTTCAGGTGTCTTGATGTGCTGTTGTTTGAAGTCTGAGAAGGGAAGGGCAAACGGACAGTGGTCATCCGAGAGTTCAGCGGAGCCCTGGGAGTCCTGGCTGGACATAAGGTACTCTCTACATTGACCAGCATGTGGCTTGAAGGGGAAAAAGATAAACAGAAGGAGCTTCTGATCCCCCCTCCCCCACTGTCTGCCAACGCTGCAAACGCCCTTCGTGGGGGATCAACTCAACCAGATCTCTTAGCAGCCTCTGCCAGAAAAAGGGTCCTGACTGCAGCCTCTCCCCCTCTTTTCTTGATATCCAACCAAGCTCAGAAGCTCCAGGGCACTCCCAAAGGGGTATTTCGCCCCAAGAGGACATCTGGTTATTCTATTTCAGGGTATGAGATTCTGATGTCCAGAGGTTCTGAACAGCAATGCTGCCAACATCAGACAATACTAGGGTGTCCCCATTGCAAAGAAGATTCCAATTCAAACGTGAATAGCACCGGGTCAAAAGTCCCTTGACTAAGGACATAACTGGACCCAGGCGGACTGCTCTGCAGGGGGCCATCACAAGAACAGCTGGCAGCAGACTCTGCCATTTACACAGCAGAAGACATTCAGGTGTCTCCTGGGCTCTCATGCCTCTCAGCTCCCACCCACCACTCCGTCACATGCCAGTTATAACTCACAAAGCTAAAGAACCTTCCAGCTAACAGCGACTAAATATCTACAGAGCAGAATTTCTGCTTGAGCACTACAAAAATGCACGCAAGTGTTGGAGATTATGCCGTGGAGTTCCTGCCAACACTACACATTGACTGCATGAACTGCTGCTGTGTAACCTCTCTCAGCTGGACCTTCATCTGAAAAAACATGGGATAACAGCAGCATCTGTTTTATCCCGCAGTGAGAGGGTTAAGTGATAAAGGGCATGTGTAGCACTCAGGGTACCAGCATAAAAGCAGGTACTCAATACAGGAGGGAGCTGGCGCCCTATGTACAAACAAGACAGTCCACTGTGGGAGGGTGGGAACTGTGGGGCTGAGAATTCATTCAAGTCCTGCTGGCTGCTCTTCATCTACCTCTGAAAGGCTTGGAGAATGGGCACCACAGCCCATCTTCTCTGGAAGTTCAGCAAAGCTCTCCTGCAGTGTCAGAAAGCAGGGAAGGAGGCTGAATGGCAAGAATCTGCCTGACCCTGTGCTATCCAAGAGCCCAGTGCTCTGATCTCTCTAAACCTCATTTGCTACACAAGACTGCACCTCTGTCACACCTCTGTCCCAGGGCTGCTGTCAGGAGCAAGTGAATAGATACAAATAAGTTGTTACTGCTGGCCCTGCAAGCTCAGGGGTTCCAGGTCCCTCACAGGAGACAAGGACCCACTTTTGTATTAAACATCTCCTTTTGTGGTGAAGTCCCTAACAGAGTCAGTGTAACATAATGAGTGTTTCCACCAAAGAAGTGGAGTGTCGGGAGAGGAGGTGCATTCTCCTAATCCCCAGGAGGACAAAGAGGCATTGCACTCACTGTGAGAGAGCAGCTGTCTGCACAGCACCCCTATTCCCAGCTCACCTTCTCCAGCTCCTGCAGGAACACCTGAGCTACCCGGGAGGCCCTCTCAAAACAGGCCACCACTTCCTCCTCGCGCTCAGTCAGGCGGATGTGGGAGGCAACGGAGCTGGGCACGCGTTCCAGGGAGAGGCCTGCAGGGGAAACAGAGAACCTCAGACCTGCCCTGCTTAGTCCTGCACTCCAGGCCCTTCCCACGGACACAGGGGAGGTGCATCTGAGGGGATACACAGTATGGAGCAGCCAGTGTGAGGCCAAGGTCCACGGAGGGGAAGGCAAAGCTGAAGCAACAGTGGTGTTAGCAGCAGCCGGAAGCAAGAGATGACCCAAGAATGGGCACCAAGGCCCGACATGGTGAGTCCTACTGTGCCAACCCTGCCCATCCTTGTAGTACAAGATCAGTCCCGTGGAGCCGATTGTCTGCTCCTGGGAGTCATCTGTGTTGACAAGCTATCTGCTTGCAGTGGACACCCATCGTTCAGGCCCCTGTCTTTCAGCAGTAGCAACCCACTTTCCCTCTGATCACCCCTCCAAGGTCTCAGCATGAGAACATGGTAACAGGATAGGGGTAGGAACATGGCCCAACGTGAGCCCATAGAAATCAGTCTCGTGATTGTTCCTCATTCCCTGGCATTGTGGAGCGGGCACCAGAGGCTAACCTGGAAATGCTAGAGGAAATGCCTTGAAAGAAGTGTAGGGCTGGTTCAGTAGTTAAGAGCATTTGTTGCTCTTCTGGAGGGCTGAGGTTCTATTCCTAACACCCACACGGTGGCTCACCACCTTCTACAACTCTGGTCCCAGGGGATCGAGTGCCCTCTGACTTCAGTGGGCACCAGGCATGCATGTGGCTTATAGAATGAAGGCAAAACATTTGTACACGTAAAATAAAAAAATAAATCTAATGTTTGACACCTAGCAGGACTTGGTGGCACATGGTTAGCACTCAAGGGGCTGAGGAAGGATCATGAGTTTGAGGGCTACCTGAGTCAACTTACTGAGACCTCATCTCAAGAAAACAAAAACACCAAACCACCCAGCCAAAAACAGTGTCTACAGAGTGGCTATAAATGACACCACTCAATCACATATGTAAAAATGATAAAGTTTTACATCATGTCATTTTCTTTACTACAGTGAGAATGTATTTAAATTAATAAGCATATAGCTCCAAGGGCCAAATAAAAATTAATGAATCTATTTGCCAAAGACAACAAAGGAAAAGCATTGTTGGTCATACTGGGGGTGGAGGAGAGAGAAAGTCCACATAGAATAATGATCGGACGTGACAGAAAAGCGCAGATTCCAAAATACAGTGTTGGAACGCCGGGGTGCTGCTTTCTCTGAAGCTCTACCTACCAGCAATGTCCTAGTGTAAGCCAACATTCATCCATCCCACATACATTCTTTTTCTTTCTTTCCTTCCTCTTTCTTCCCCCTCCACCCCCACTCCCGGCTTTGTTGAGCTGTTTCTGTCGTTTGCATAGACTAGAGACCACTGCCCTTGGGACTAGGGTTCCCAATGGGCGGAATCAATGTGTCTGTCACCTTTGTGCCCCATATAGCCTTGTGTCTATCAGACACCGAAGACAACTAATTAACGGAGCAGATCGGGAGCACAGTCCTCTAAGCCTCAACAACTAGATGGTCGTGTCCCCCTCCCATCTCTCCAGTGCGTGGCCACAATGGTCTCACTTCACTCTAACCCCAACTGCACACTGCTTCCAAGGGGACCTTTTCAAAGGAGGTCTCCCTGCTATAGAGAAGGTCTAAACTCGGGGTGCTTCACACCACGCCCTCTAAGACCCATCAGGATCACCTCTCCAAACCTCTCTTCTTACCCCACCTGCTTCATCCTGCTGGCCTGCCCAAGTTGTTCTTCCCACCTGGATTTCACCACATCCATGAAGTTACCTTCTGACCTACTGAATGCCCCAAGCCAGCCGTTGTCCTTTCTCAGCCCTGGCTTATATCTCTCATGCCTCACTATTTCTTATGCTCATTTTTCATATGATTTCCCAAGTAGATGGCAGCTCCTCCTGGTGCCAGCTTAATGGTGTTCAGCTGTCCCCCACCTGGTACATGGTAGGTACCAGACAAGTACAGGCTGTCCGGGTGGAAGAAAAAAGTCCAATCATGGCCAACAGAGTACAAAGTGCTCTGCAAATACAAGGAAAGGAATTAGCAGTTTTTCTTGGCTAGATATCAACACATACAGATTCAGTGTGACCTTGTTCTCTTGCCAGGCTGGGGTGTGACCACATCCAAAGTCTGGGAACCTCAGCCTGGGGGAAGGTAGGCGCAGAAAATGAGGGTCTTTGCTCAACACAAAGACCTAGTTCCCAGGTCACTGAGTGTCAACATGGAGAGCAAAAAGCTCCTCACTCTGGAGGGGCAGGGAGGAGGAACAAAGAAGGCAGGAAGCAAGCGCCATCACTTCTTCTACAGCTGGCTTGACCTTCCGCACCCCAGGTGTGCCACTTGTCACCACTCAAGAAGGTAGGACAAAAGCAAAGCCGATCAAGAAGACCAGCCCAGAAGACTAACTGCGGGTTATAGCCAGGACTTAGCCAGTTCTGAGGAGATGCAGAGTGGATCTGCCCTAAGGTAGCAGTCCTAAGTCCCCAGAGACTTGCCCTGGCGGACTCCCTTCTGCACACTTCTAGGTCAGGCTGCTGGCTCAAGTCTCCCATGATCTGGCTCCCGCAAAGGAGAACTGAGGTCACTGTGGGCCTCCACCTTCCCTGTACTACAACTGTCCCCATTCCCAGAGCCCCTGCCCCCAGCCAGAGCTTACCACCATGCTTTTCCAAGAATTAAGTGCACTGTTTCTAGTAGGCTCAAAGCAAAAACTACCTCCTCCCTGAGACCCTCTGTGGTATTTAGTTAGTATAGACTAGCACACTGATGACATTGTCTGTGCCTCTGAGGACATCTATAAAAAGGATTTTCTAGACTGGGTAAACAGAGGCAGGAAGACTCACCCCAAATGTGGGCACAACCGTTCTATGGAATATGGTTACAGAACAGTATTCACTGCTCTGTTTCCTGACTGGGAATGTAACGTGACCAGCCATGCCTTCCCTTGCCATCATCGGATTTCTGCTCCAACCTTAAGCTGAAATAAACCCTTTCTTCCTTGAGTTGCCTTTGTCAGTGATCTGTCTCGGCAACTAGGAAAGCAACTAATCCCGTCTCCAGGCTGTTAAGTTCCCTTCCCTCTGACTCAGCAGAGAATGTTCACTGCATTTCCCTCTTTGTGTCTGGTTATCTGGGTGGTTCTGCAATGGAACACAGACTGGCACATCCTAGGCAGAGCTCTACCAATGCTCGACATCTCCAGCCCCCATATCTCCTGTGTACGTACCTTTGCCCTGTCTCGTCACCATGCTATTTCTGATTGATCTTTCCAGCCCAGCAACAGCTCAAAGCTCGTTGTTTGGAGAGTACATGGAAATGAGCAAACAGAAATGAGCAAAGTCAGGCATGCTGAATGTGGTGCCTGCAGGGAGAGGCTCTTCCTCCATTAAAAAAAAAAAAAAAAAAACTTCTTAAAGAACTCACAAACAAACTATGGCAGATCCCTGAGGCTTTCTTCTCAGCTAGCAACAACTGTTTAGTGAGTTCCAAACCAGTGAGAGCCCCTGTCTCAAAAAAAGGAAGACAGCCTCTGAGGAGTAAGACCCAAGACTGTCCTCTGGCATGCACACGCATCTGCAGAACACACATGTGCAGCTACACAATGCACACATGCACACAAACATTGACATACATTTATTTCTTAGAGATTATAATATTCAGGAATGGAGAGATGGCTCAGTGGTTAAGAGCACTGGCTGTTCTTCCATAGAACCTGAGTTCAAATCCCAACACCCACATGGCAGCTCACACCTATCTGTAACTCCAGTTCCAGGAGATACACACACAGACATACACACAAGCAAAACACCAATGCACATAAAATAAAAATAAAATTTTTTAAATTATAATATTCAAATGAAGCAAGCTGTCAAAAACTGCATACTATATGATTTCACTAGTGAGAGAGAAACAGCGGTCACCTGGGGTACACGGTGAGGCTCAGCTGGGAAGGGGTGCTAAGAACCCTTCTAGGATAGAGGGAATACTCTACTTCTATGGTGTTGGCTCTGTAGGTGTTCACACTAGTCCAAATCATCAGATCATACACTTGCAATATGCACCTCACTAATATGGAATTGTATATGAAAATATGGAGATAATGTCTATTTATAAAGAAGTAAAAGATGGAGGTCAAGCAGATATATTCAATGAGGTGAGCCTCTGTAGGATTGTTTTTAATTTGTTTTTATTTTAAGTGTATGGGTGCTTTGCATGTCTGTACATGTATGTCTGCACATGTCTGTCTATGCACCGTGTGTGTGCCTTGTGTCCAGGGGCCAGAGGACGGTGTTGAATCCCCTGGGACTAGAGTTAAAGATGGTTGTGAACCACCATGTGGGTGGTGCAAATTGAACCTGGATCCTCTGGAAAAGCAGTCTGTGCTCTTAACCACTGAGCCATCCCTCCAGACCCTGTAAGATAACTTTCAACATGCTTAAGACCAGTTCGTAGAGCCAGATGTCCTTGGGTCTAACTGCTCAGAAGGCCCACTTCCTGCCCAGTGTTTGGAAACCTACACCAATCCTGAGAGTTCCCCTTTTCCCATGGGTCCTTCTGCATAAGCGGCCAAATGATAGCACAGCACCAGGTCCAAGTGGAGACATGCAACTCTTGAGGCCACCTCAAAGTTCCTGGGGGTTGGGGACCAACCCTGTGGTTTGGGAGGAAGCCAATAGCTCCCAGGAAATGCCAGGCACTGCTTCCTGTGTCACACTGGCAGATAGCGACTTTCTCTGAAAACTCACAAACCAACAAGCCAAGGAAAGGCTTCTCTCAAAGGAGCTGGTGAGCTCTGCATTTTTCAGGCCCAACCCTGGGCTTGGCACCAGGCTGGTCCCAGCTCCTGTGTGGGATGACTCACATCCCTGAAGCAGGCCTTCCAACTAGGCCCACCCTTGAAGCCTTGGGTCCTGGATACACAAGTGGAGACAGGAGGCTTTCTTTGCTAGGAAACTCCCTTTCCCAAAGGGTAACATTCTTCACCCATCCACCCACC